GGAAGTGGAACGCGTGCCGCTCGCCTCCTGCTCTCCCGCCCGGTGTGGCCTGTTGGTTAGAGGTGGGTTTTTTTAGTTTATTTTCCAAGAGCTCGCGCAGTAAATCATTGTGGCTTGCCCGGGCGAAATTCACAGTAACTGTTCACTCACGCTGAGAAACTTCGGAGCCGAAGGTGAGGTGGTGTAATGGGGTGCTCCTGTGTTTGCAGTGTGACAGACCTTTGTTTGGCAGACCTAGGTTTATTCTCTAGCTTCGAAAGCAAAGTATGGGCGTTTGTTAATGTTTAGCTCCTCTTGTTAGAGTCACCAGAGCAACTGATGTCGCCCCTTTTTTCCCTTAGTGGACTGGAGTACTTGGAATTTTTTTATAAGATGTCTCTGGAATACCCTGTTTTCCTCTTGCTGTTCTGCTGGTGCTCGGATAAAACTGTTCCCCAGGGAGCTCATGCTATAGGACTGGGAAAACAGGAGGGATAAAGAGGGGGAAGAAAAAGGAAGCACCGTTTAGTTATGAAGTGCAGAGAGTTACAGCCTCAGTGTTAAAGCACTTTTAATTTTTGAAAAGGAAAATGTAGTTGCTTTAGGTGAAATTTGAAGTGCGTGCTGACCTGTCACGTTCAAACTTGCTGTTCTGTGGTGCAGGTCCTAGTGACGCATCTCCGGATGAAGGAGTAGTGGAAGATCTGCCTTTAATAGATGAGAAAGCTATGGAGCAGCTAACTGAAGGATTGATCTCTCATTATCTGCCTGATCTTCAGCGATCAAAATCGGCGCTACAGGAACTTACGTAAGCAAATTTTTAAAACCAGCTTCTTATACGTACATATGTTGTTTGCCACTTTTTTTCAATATAATGTTTTAGTTACCCTTAACTGGAATATAGCATTTCTGTGCTCTGACTATAGCATCCTGAATACTTAAGTGATCTGAGGGAGTGCTGGGGTGGTCTATAAGCTGCAGTGCAGCCTGTCAGAACTTTGACTGAAGAATGCAGAACACCAGAATACTAAAATCCTCTAAGCCGGGTATAGCAGAAGGCATGCAGATTTCTTAAATACTTGTTCACTTTTTTTAGTGGAAAGTCTACTGAAAGCTGGATTTATTTTGTTTGTAGAGATGCAGTTCATATTCAGGGCAGCTTGTAGTGCGGTATATTGTGTGTTCTCCAGTCTCTAACCTGTGTTGCAAAAGGTACACTTGGAAAATATAATTTAGGAGCTAAAGAGATAAGAATTGTTTGTACATTGGTATCTCACTGATAACTGAGAATAGTTTATTTCAGATGCAGACTGGCTCTGCCGTGAATGCAAAGATAGTAGAAAGGCTTTACACAGAGCCGTGGCAGGTTTTGCAGGGTACACTGGTTTGGGTTTCACAATGCATGGTGTGGTTATGCTGCTGGCAAGGACACCTGTGTCTCGGAAGACTTTAGCTGGTCTGTGTGGGATGGAGGATCCTGAATAAGCACCACAGATCTACACAAGTTCTATACAGAAATAACTTCTTCCTGGGCGTGTCGCAGAGGCAGTGGAGTGGAAAGTCAAGAGCTAATTGTCCAGGGTGTTTACCCACTGCAGCCTGCAGAGCGCTTGTTCAGGGTTTGCAGATACTCGTCCTGGGTACCTCACCATGCTGTATGATGCCAGCTGAATTTGTGTGTACTCAGCTGGGATTTTTCTAAAACCATTTGCTCATGTCTTTATTGAAATCACCTAGCAATGCATAAGAGGAATATGATATTGGGGAGCATATGTTTACATTGTTATGATCAAAAGTCATATTTATTTAAAGGGCTGGTTGAAAAGCATACATGCTGCTTTACTTTGGTTTTATGCATCTTTTTTTTTGTTTCAGGCAGAACCAAGTGGTATTACTAGAAACATTAGAACAAGAAATTTCAAAATTCAAAGAGTGTAACTCCATTCTTGATATCAATGCTTTGGTAAGTGCTATTAATGCTTTCTTAAATCTCTGCTAGTGTAGATTTTTGTGCTGAAGCAATACTAGCAACTTGCATGTTTTTCTTGTTCTTGATGGCCTGCAGGAAGAGAACCAACCAGTTCAGATATTCGGGACAAACTGTTGCTGGAGAGGGTGCGGAACCAGCCTATTTCCCTTAAACAGGAAGGGCACTGGGAAGAAAGCAGGCTCAGTCAGCCAGTGGTAGGAAGTTTAGTTGTTCAAAACCAGCAGCCACAGCAAACATATGCTGTTTTTCAGTAGAACTGAGGCTCCAGCGTGAGCTCTGTGCACCTCTCCAGGCTAGTGGAAAGGGTGCATGAAACACTGCTATATCGTGCATAAAATGGTAACATTTTTATTCTGTTTAGTGAATCTTAATTCAGTAGATTACTGAGGGTACCTGTTGAGATGGGGTAGTTTTCTATATTAATAGCTGTAATATGAAAACTTTATATATAATCTTGAAGATATTGAATCCTTTATCGAACTGTTCTGGTTATCACTATGTTTTTGAATGCTGTTTTGCTATGTAGCTTTATGAAACAACTATTCCATCTTGACTGTCACTGCTTTAACAGTTATATTTTTTTAAGTTTTCAGAAGCTAAACACTATCACAACAAGTTAGTGAATATTAGAAATGAAATGATGATGCTCCATGAGAAGACATCAAAGTTAAAAGTGAGTGGGATAAATATTTTTACTTTCCAACAGACATATTTATGTATTATTGACTTCCTACTTTTATTTGGGATGCATGCTGAAAGTTCTGATTAAAGTAGAATCTTCAATCCTTATCGTAAATGGATGTTCTCAGTAGTGGCAAGCCATGTATGTTTTTAAAATGCCACTTACTCCTACCTGTGCTCAAGCAACTTCTGCAACATTCTGGCGAGATTAGTCCTTCAGTATGTTCAACAAAAGGATTTTCTCTGGGAGGCAATAAATTGCACAGTACGCACCTTGTCTGGTATGTGCGAAGGGTGACTTTTAGTGAGACTGAAGGGAATCCAGTTTGTATTTTCCCTTTGTAGATGACAGACTTGCTGTTTCTGAACAGTGAGATGGGAGTGGGAGGGAGCAAGAAAAAATGAACAGTTTGTGTAACATTCAGTCATAAGCAGGTTGGATTGAAGAAGATAATGTTAAGAGAACGGAAGGGATTTGTTTGTAGCTCCAACTTAAATGCAGCTGTAAAACTTATAATTATTTTCTTGTCTTTTCTGTTTAGAAAAGAGCACTTAAGCTGCAACAAAAGAGGCAGAAGGAAGAACTAGAACGAGAACAGCAACGTGAGAAGGAACTTGAAAGAGAGAAGCAGTTAACAGCAAAACTTGCTAGGAGGACGTGAAAGCAGAGCATGCAAGAACTTGTCCAGATTAATCATTTCTGCATTCTCTGGAATTAAGGCAGGCTTTGATTAAACTGGGCTATGGGTGTTACTAGCAGCAGTCTACTCTATGATATTATAAATTCCAGAATGGTAATAATAGGGTTGGTAACATTCAATTTTTTTAATTTCAGCCATTCAAGTTGCCTTCTTTTGTAATGCAATGCAGTTTGATATTATTATAATGTAAGTTTATTTTTTTAATGCATGTATGTAGGAGAACTTAGGCATCACACTTTTAAATACCTATCCATTTTTTCTTCTGTTCTTCTGGCAGTCAGAATTCTGAACAATGTTTTGTGACTGGCATACATGTGTTTCAGACAAAATACAGAATACGAGTTAAAGTTCTGTTCTCATCCCTGGAATTTGTCGGCCACCTGTTTCACTGCAACTGCTTTGATTCAGGCAGTTGGGATCTCTTTTCAATGCCCTGATTCATAAATATTGACTTCTCGTGCAGCCGTAGTTTGGTCCGTCTCTAATGGACTGAAGAAACTTCCAGTGCATTTGCCTGAAAGCTCACTTTGTTGCAGCAGTTACTGTCATGAAGTAACTTAAGAAAAGCTTTAAAGTACCTTCTGAATAATTTTCCAGCAGAATTGGTTGGGGCAGGGGGGAAGCAGAACTCTAAAGAATCTCAGAATTGATGTGTGCGCAATGCAAAGATTAATGAATTTGTGCCACCACAAACATTTGAGCCAAACCATTGAACTGTTGCCTCCGTAATGGTTCAACAGGAAGTCTGTGTGGTCTAAGCGGATATTGGGGGGTTAGAAGTTGTGGTTTCTTCATTTTGTGTGACAAAATAAAACACAACCAAAACTAAACAATTTGTACTTAATGTGAAATTCAGTTACTTGTAGGAAAAACTACTGCATTTAATTTTTTTCCGCAATAAATTATTCATTTGCACTTTAGGGCTATGTAATAGAATTTTTGTTAGGCTGTCCTCGCCCAAATTGATGATTATTAGTGTGTACTGATGATAAAAGTGGAATGGAGGTTGATACCTATTTCTCTGTAATTGCTTTCTTGCAGCACTTGGTGTGAACTCCCATTCAAATGAATGTACATGTTGTCTAGTTTGGTAGAAGAGCTTTAAACGATTTGTTCCTACGGTCTAACAAACTAGTTATTTTTTCTGTTGTGGTTTGGTGTTTTTTTTTTTTTTTTCTTGTAAGTAGTAACATAAGTGATGTGTTTTGAAGTAAGATGAAGGACAAGCTATGTAAAGTTTTCCATAAAATATGTATGGTGAGGTATCAGAGGGGCACAGTCAATTTTACGTTTTCTTCCATTTTAGATCACTTATACAGTGTACACCTGCCTGGACTCTCCTGTATTATAATTTTCTGAACTTCAGATTTCCTGTTCTCAATATTTGTCGTAGTTTTCTGTGAAAGATGTACCCTAACGAGTAATCATCCAACATGCAAGGTAAACTGGAATGATGTTTTGGGGCCAGGAGAACAAGCTCCTTAAAATGGTCTGGAAAGACACTGAAATGCTGTTACTGGTGCAGTAGTAGATGAAAACTTTCCACAGGTATTTGTCCTTTGAGTTGACTTGTGTCTGTTAATTGCCAGTGGATTGTTGACCTGTGCTGTGGTTTGTATGTATTTCTAAGAGAAATGTAAAGAATTTCCACAATCCATTTTTGGAGCAGAATGTACATAACTAAATATTGTTTAAATATTTTATTTTGTAATGTAATTTCAAAATCAGATTCTGGGAATGTGAACAGTTCTTATTAAAGTGTAACATGAAACTAGATGCCTCTGTATCCAAACCAGGATTAAATTCCTGTAGTATTTCTTGATTTGTGTTCCCTTGTCCAGAATCCAGTTTAGTGTTTCAAGTTGTGGTCTCTTTCTGTGAGGATCTGTGCGGTTTTTTTGTTTTGTTTCAAAAGTCATGGCTACTTCTACTGAAAATACAGGATTCTAAGCATAGAAATTCATGCTTTTGCAATTGCATAGTTCAGTGTTTCTTTGGAATCATTTCTAATCAAAGGAATAAAAGCTTGTAGTGCTTGCCTGAGGAATCACATACACATAAAAATGTAATTGATAAATTTTCCCATAAAATTGTAGCAAAATCTGGTTTTTGTATGAATAAGGAACTAATTTTACTAAATGACCTTTCTGTAATAAAGGAGAAAAAATGGTTTAAGGTCTATAGGAGGAAGTTCGGTCAGTTTACGTAACATTTTTTTATTAATAAGCTCTTAGTTTCAGGCAAAACTACAATTCATTATCTCTATAGGATGTTGTTCTTCCGAGTACACCTTTGTGTCTTAATGCATAAAAAGTATATGTTGCATTGGATTAATTTAATGATACTGGCGTCTAAACTTGTGAGCTTGCATTAATATGCACAGCTGAAGTGAGTAATTCTATTACTGTATACATTTAGCCTTGCTTGATTTTATAAAAAAATTACATATTAAGTAGATAAATGTGGTAGTGTTAGACATTTTCTTACTGACTTTTTGTTGCATCCACTTGAGGAGGCGCAGCTAGCTGCATGTTTTTTAGAAATAGATAAAATGACAGCTTTTAAACTGTCAAGTCATAGCAGCAGAAGCAAGACACTTAACTGTGCTGTAACTCTGAATTTTTATTTTGTAAGATTCTACAGATTTAGGAATTACTGTGCTTAACTGGGCAATCTTGGTTTCCCATGCTTTTATCTTTGCTATTGTTAACCTGGATGCTTAATTTGGGTTCCTCCATCTATAGCCCTACAGCTTGGTGTGAGCCAATTTTTAATCCAGTCAAATCTGACTGTTTCACTAATAGTGGTAGCTTTGCCACGTTCATAAGACAAGTATTTGTTTCCTTTTGGAAAATGGCTACAGATTATTTTATCTGATTTTATTCTGTGTGCTGTGACCGAAGTAATAGTAGTATAAATAATAATGTTAAGCCTGTTTCTGTACTTTTCTGTTGGGATTCTAGCAGCTGAGAGAGTTCTCTGGCTGATTTATTCCAAATTACGCTTCAATAGATGCTTTCTGCCACCTGGTGCTTGCTTTGCAGCACTGCTGGCTGTTCTACATTTTGATTCTGAGACTGGCGCTCTAATACCTCACCTTGCAGGGGTCGATCTTTTTTAAATCTCATTAAATCGAATTGGTTATTTGATCTTTGTTGGATTAGTTGTGCGAATATAACTAAATTACTGCTAAAAATTTGGCAGGACTTGAACTTGTAAATCTGTAAGAATACAAATTATAGCAGCATAAATATTAATATAGCTGTTCACGCTAGGCAAAAGAGACAGTATGCACTAAGTTTCTTAGTAAGGCAGTATGTGAAGATAGCAAAGAGGATTTGATTTATTTATTCATTTATTTATTTTAAAATCAAAGTGTAAGCTTAAACTGAAGTAAACAGTTGGGATTGGCACAAATATGACTGTTTTCCAGTAATTTGAAGTACACTTGTACTTACTTTACTTTTCTCAGTCTTTGGCAAAGTGATTTGTAGAAAAACAGGCACCAAAACTGGACCGTCACATCCCCGCCGCCATTGTATGTCTGCAAACCAGTCCTTTGTGATACCAGCATGACCAAGAACTCATGATGTGACAAATTTAGTTTTCTCAAATATTCTCTACGTAGGTGATCAAACTAAAACTGATGGGAAGAACAGCTCTATTATTGGTATCTGACAGTGTCACAACAGTGCTGGTGTGGAGAATTTGAGCTGTTTTCCTCCAGGCAGTAACTGTGGGCAACCACGGATCTGGGAGGTGATGACTAACTGAAGTCCATAATCTAAGTGTGGTTTGTTGGGTGTTGTATAGCTTAAAAGCACACATATGTTGGCCATACCTGATAACTCAGTATTTCCTTCTTGGTTTTGCTCCTACCTATCTGTCTCCACGATGTCAAGCCGTGGGGTTTAAGAAAGGAAATAGAACACCCTGCTTGGCCATCGGAAAAGTTGCAACAAATGTATTCAGCTTTTACAAACTTGAAACTTAATGAAGCAAATAATTTAAATCTTGATAAAGAAGAATTTCCTGTACACGTGCAAAGGCAATAGTCTCTAAAGCAGTAATTTACAGAAGTAATTAATTTTGCACTGTCATTCACAGGGAGATGTGAGACAAAAGGTAAGGCTGATGTATTTTGTTTCATGTGTTGCAATGACAATACATCCCAGCCCTGCCGTGAAAGCAAGACCATCTGTAGAAGTACTGGTCAGCAAAACACTTCACCTGTAAACTAGCAGTATAGTCTATTGCTTTGATGAGCAAGACTTCTCTCACCTGGGACTCATGTAAAAAGTAATATCCTCCTGTGTAAATAACAGCCTGCAAGAGTAATAATAGAACAGTTAGTACGAACTCTTTGCCACCCCACTACCTGAAACCAATGTTTCACCCTTGCATCAATCAACTGAAGTTGCTAGCTTTCCAAGTCTTTAAAACTGGGTAGAAACCATGTTGGTCAACTGTGTGTGAGAATGTACTGCTTACTCTCTTTTGCTTCTGCTTCTACTTTTTTTTGCTTTTACTACTGCTTCATTTCTGTTAGCCTTACAGATGCTATGATTTAGAGGTATACCAGAAGAAGAATATCTCCAAGAAAAAATATCAAAGATGATGTGAGGAAATTACCACTTTTCTTTTACACCCCCAGTGTTACTAGAATTCATCTGAGATTGTGCTCACTGCCAGGGAGGCCCTTTCCACAGAAGAAGAATCCCCATCCTGGAGAACTTGCAGTCTAAGCCTAGACGGGCACGTAGATTAAGAGGCCGGGAGGTGCATGCTCGGGGCGTCCCAGGAAAGCCCAGTTGCCCGGTGAGCAGAGAGCGTTGCCCGTCACTCCCGCAGCTGCCCTGGGGTACCAGGGGCCCTGCAGAGGTGTGCAGCGGGGCAGTGTGTGCCCAGGCCTCGCGCAGCAGCTCCCACCCTCGCACCCTGCCTGGACTTCGCTGTTGCGGGAGGGTGAGGCAGCACTCCCTGCAGCTGCAGGAGAGCTCTGGGCTGCAGGTGAGTGGTTTCTGCACGTAAGTAATTTCTTCTATTAAAATTGCAGACCATCTCTGTAAGAAGACTGTGGGGAAATATACATGGAAGCATAAAAAAGATACTTTAGACCATCTTAAAAATATATGCTTAAAAAAATCACCAGCTTTTTTATGGACAGAGATGAGGATTAACCTCTTGGAACAAAACGTGGAAAAAAGGCCGTACTCTGACTACATCAGGGCAGCTGGGAACAGGAAGTAAGGAAGTTCTTAGAAATTATAAAAATGAGGAGTTTGGGTGTTGTAAAAGATGTGACTATAAACCATGTTTTTTGCTCTTTAGAGACATCACTTGTATTGATGTATTAACAAA